CAGCATTGAACCCCATCCTGTTCCCATTGGCCCTCCCCTGTAACCTGTCTAAATCTGAATACAGCCTATTCCTTCCTTCTAGCGTGCCCACTTCCCCCAACATCTTGGTGTCATCTGCGAATTTGAACAGGGTGCTTTTTACCCCCTCGTCCAAGTCGTTGATGAAGATGTTGAACAGTGCGGGCCCAAGGACCGAGCCCTGCGGAACCCCACTGCCCACATCCCTCCAGGTCGAATAAGACCCGTCCACCACCACTCTCTGGGTGCAGCCCTCCAGCCACTTAGTGACCCATTTGACTGTGTAGGCATCAACACCACAATCTCCTAGTGTTTTTATGAGACTGGGGTGAGAGACTGTGTCAAAAGCCCTCCTAAAGTCCAGAAAGACTATATCCACTACGACACCTGCAGCATCTGTGGGTGATCACCAACCACTGGTCAACGCTCACCACCCCCTCCCCCCACCACCAACACTACTGTGGCTGCCTGCGGGAGCTCCCTGCTCAGCCCGCCTCCACCGCAGATGCCTGCAGGACCACCCTGCTCGCTGCCACCATGCCCCCACCACTGCCGCCAACTATGGGTGGTTGCTGTGCCCCCCAGCCTCCAGGGGCATTCATTGTTCATGGCCCTAACTATTTTGCTTAGCTATATCTATACCTGTATTAGAAGTAGGCATCCTGCTTTGAAGCCCAACCAAAATTTATCCATCTCTCAAGATCTGTATGATGTAACCAGTGGAAATGAGCCCTGTATACTTGGACTGATTTTGGCACTGTAGGTCTGATTCTGTCATTTAGGGTGGCTTGTCTATTTTAAACCAGATCAGAAGTAAGCCACAAATTTAATTTTTTTATTTCCTTTTCTAGATTACTACCTATGTCATTTTAAACTATTATATTTTTTTCAGGATTTTTATCAATAATAATAATAATAAAAAACAAAACCCTAAAGTCCCCAAATTCTATTTTCTTTGACAAAACCAAAACAGTTTAATTTTTTTGTAATGGTTTTGTGTAAAATAAAAATATTTTTGAACCAGATACGCCAAAGAGTATTGTGTTAAGTAATCATTCTCAGTTTTTTTTAGTAAAAACACCCAAACATTTTAGTGACTTCTTCCATCTAGCTTAGGTTTTTAAATGCTACAGGACAACGTGGACACTTATAACTCCCATTGTTTTCAAGGAACATAGTAAATTATGTTTTTTTCTAATTATATTAATTTTTGCCGTCCATTTTAAAAACAGGATTGATATTTTTTGTATTAAACTGTTTGATAATGTTTTAAATCTGCTAATGACAAAGTACACACACTATTCCTCACTTCCAATTAATGCTGTGTACAGTGTCACTTTAAAAAAAGAAAGAGCCGTTTATTAAAACAAGATTCTTACACAAGGGGAGCAATATGGAAAGCTGTGATCAGAGATGACAGTTGGTTTACTCTTACCATTTGATCACAAACCTTCAGTGCCATCTGTGGGAAGCCACATAGGCAAATGTGTCATCACATCTAATAAAGAAAAAAAGAAACAGACAGAACGTGCTGTAGAAACAGACTGGTTTAATTACCCCTTATACAATACTCTTTCAAAATTTGCAGAGAAAGTACTGTGCAGACAAGGTGCTTATGCAAATCAATATGTCATAACTATGGTACAAAAGGTTTTGACCTTGGGAATTAAACTTATCCAGAATATATCACCCCAAGTAAAAAAATCATTGAGTAAAAAAAAAAAGCTTTAATGCAGAGTTGAGGGTGTCCATTGGTATCTCATGTCCTTCCAAAAGACTGAGTTTGAGCAAAAGTCACACCTCTGAATACCAGAGTAAAGGTACATGCCACAACAACCTTAACTCTGCACCCTGCTCCCAGAATTGGCAATAAATACTGGGAATGAATTTGCTGGGGTATTTATAGCCGTAAGGAGGAGAAAGGATTAATTTGTGAAGTATAGTAGAGCCACAGTTGTGATGTGAGATAATCTAAGGTGGCCTCACCCCTCCGAGTGGGGCCTCCATCTCCCCACCTTACCTGTACCTGCAATGAAAGAAAAATCAGTATATTACCATGAACGATGCAGTTTCCCAAATGTTAGCACTAAATTGTGTAGCATGTGTAAGTAGGAATACACAGGGTCTTTTCCCCATACAAGGTGCACTATGAGAGTATTATGTCCGTGTTTGATTGGCAAGCAATAGGGTTTAGATGAAACCCAACACATCAGTGTGACTAGGTTATAGGTGTGAAGGTATCTTGATAAAATAGGAGTTCCAAGCTAGGGACAGACATTACACATAAACTAGTTTAAGTGATCAGAAACTGTAACAGAACATAAGTTCAGTGCATAAACCAGTTTCAAAATGGCTGAAATTGGTTTAAGATAAACCCGGCTGAATGTAGTATTAGACTTAACTGATTTTGGTCAAACTGGTTTATGCAATGTCTGTCCCGGACCCCTTCCTGGTTTAAATTAAACCAGACTCTCGCAGCTGCCCAGAGTCTACAGCCCTGGGCTGGGCTGGGCTGTTTGCTCCAGAGAACAGAGCTGGCCCTGCCCCTCTGCTCCCTAGCTGGAGCTCTGGTGGAGACTGCAGGCACAGCAAGGTCTGCCTGGCTTCCCCCTGCCCCCACCCCTTGCCACTTGCTGCTCAAACAGGGATCCCCACTCCCTCCCTTCCATCTCCCACAGCGTGGACCCCAGCCCCACGGACTCTAACCAGCACGTGGTATGCTAGCTTATGCTGAGAGGTGTCTGTATGTGTCTCCAATTTCACTGGGACAGGACAAAGGCAGACAGGGCAGTGTCCATTTAGGGCTTTTTGGAGCTAATCAACAGGTCAGCTGGTAATGTCCTAAAAAACTGTTTAAGAAGAGCTTGAACTAATGAGAGGCTTTTGTTTTCTTGACAGGCTGCTAAATGCTGTGCTATCAGCTGCCTGCTGGCTCCCTCGCCTGTCAGGTTTGCTGCAGATAGTATGAAGAAGCAGGGAGAGGAAGATTGAAAAACTCAGTATCATCAACAGATGCATGCACTGCACACAAGCAGTCTTCCCTCCTCCTCCCCACTTTGCCTCAGAGTGCTAGCTGGGGGCTGGCAACACTCCCACCCCTTGAGCAGTGAGCAGGGAAAAGCCTGGGACAGTGCAGGCAGGGTGAGGGTTTAAACCCCTCCCTAACCAGAGCCTCCTGTTGGGGCCTGGCCACACCCCCTCTCAGCACTATGGAAGGGAAGGGAGGGTTGCTTTAACACCCCCCAGCTTCTAGCCTGAGCCACTGCAAGCATGTGTCTGCATTTCCTCAGTCCAGAAGGAATGTCTGTGCATTTGCAAATCAGTTTAACCTAGTCAGGTTAGACTAACCTGCAATGATTGAATCAATTCAGGCTTTTTGAATGTCTATCCCTAGCCCCAGTGTTTGAGTATAGGATAATTCAGTGCACATCCTATGAACACAAGTTTTACCTTCGGAAGAGAATCCCCAATTCAGCCTTCTCTTCTCTAGACAAAATAATTCCAGTTCTTCCACCTGTTCCATTATGTCATGATTTTTAGACCTATAAATTTTTGTTGATCCCCTCTGGATTTCTTTTGACTTTGATAACAACTTGCTTGAAATGTTATGTCCAAAATATGGCCCTGGTACTCAAGATGGGACATCACCAGTGCTAGAGAAAGAGAGACTCAACTTCCTGTTAATAAAGCCCAGTATGTTATTAGCATTTTTTGCAAGTCTTACACTGTTGATTCCTACTCAGATGGTTCCATTATTCCCTGCTAGTTCTGTGCTGTCTGCAAAAGCAGAGTATGAATGCACATATGGGAGCACCACTCAACAAGAGCAGAAGTAATCGTACCTTCATTTGATGTTTCTTGGGTTTCACTGGTTTTTGCTGATTCAACATTCTAGAAAAGCCCAGGATTCCATATCAGGCAAAAGCACAGACTAAAACCTCCCACAGGAGAAACTTAACACAGGCATGAAAGAGAGGATGATTCTGTGGTTAGGGACTGGATCCCAGTGTGCATACAGAGGAAAAAAGGAAGAGGGGCTCAACCCCCACAGAGGGCAGATTACAGCACATGCATGCCAAGGGAAAGTATGGGGCTAACAGGCCACCAGCTCCTTTCCCCATCATGCTCTAGAACCTCTCATGCCAAGACCCTATCCCTCCCCTCTAATGATCTATAATTCCCATCACTTTGTCACTTTCTTTTTCCTGAGCCCCCTCTCTATCTCCTGCCCTGCTATACTTACGTTCTTCCCTCCCTTCTCCTTGCTGCATCTTATCTCTCTCTATTCCCTCTCAGTTTCCCTTTTCCTCTCTGCCTCCCAAACCTTAATACCCTAAACATTGCTCCCTGTACTCACACATGCTCCCTCACTGCTCTGATCCCATACTCCCTAACTCTACATGAAAAAGACTATAATAATTTAAAATTTTATACTCGCCCAACATTATTAGTTTGTATATCAAAACCCTCCCTTGACTCTAAAAAGAAAGTCTTAGTTCCATTGTTCAGGAGCCATTATTCCATTATGCTATCTGTCTTTCATCTTCTCTCCAGTTAATCAATGGTAACTGATTAATCAATGGTGGTGCTTTGCTCTAATAATCCCCCAGGTAGAAAAGTAACAAAATGCACCACAATCACAACCTAAAATAGCTGAGCACAGCACACAACTCAGTAACTTTCAAAAAACAGCTACAGTACCTTTTAACCTGGCTGTACAAATCAGCAGGCTACACTGCCCCAAAGTAAAAACTGTCCCTCCCCCACCACCCTCGCCACATCGAAATCAACACAGGCAAAGAGGATCAATATGTCTGCAGACCTTTCTCATGCTGCTGCCAAAATCTGGGTTCAGATTTACAGCATATGCGTTTAGCTCACATTGAAAAACCACAGCATGTCTCCTTAACCAACCCATGTAATCTAACAATTGGCTGCTTGGAATAGGGTTACCAAATGTCTGTGTTTTCCTGAACATGTCCTCATTAGGATCCTTCAATCTCCGTCTGGGCAATTTTTTTAAACTTGATCAAGGCCACAGTCCAGAGACTGCGTGCCATCATGGACTGTGACTCCTACTGCCAGGCCCTTCTCCCATGGGAGCCGGACAGTAGACCACAGTCTCCCTCCAGGACAAAGGAGGACTCCGGGACCTCCCACTCTGTCCAGTCAGGGGTATGGACCAAGGTGGTCAAGGTCCCTAAGGCCCACCGCACCAAGGCCCCTGCCCTGCCGGAGCTTAGCAACCTCTTGCTGCTCCAGCAGAGCCTGCTGAGTTGCCAGCTCCCGCAGGCAACACAGGCTTTACTGCAGCTACCGCCCCCACTCTCCCCAAGACAAAACGTAAGGCGTTTGTTGTGGGAGAGGGGACTGAGGGGGTAATCTGTCACCCTGACCCCTTAGCCCAGGAAGTCTGCTGCTTCCT